AGACTTTAATGTTGAATTATGAATTCAGAATTAATAAATGAGTTCTACACTAAAAAAAAAACAATCTTCTAAATTATAAATATCATATTATTATTATTTAATTACAATTTATTCTTCATTTACATTTACATAATATTATATAACGATTCCGTTAGGTACCTATATTCTTAAATGTATCCGATCCATCGTTGTGTTGTCTATACGTACGTTTTCGGGCGCTTTTTTTCATAGTTTTTTGTAAGTTGATTAATAGTTAAAGTATTTACTGAAAAATCTATTTGTAATATTTCACACGTTTATTCTTAACTGCCGTCTGCTTTGATAAATCAAAGTTACATAATTAACATTAATCGTTGTAGGAAATAAAAACGAGACTTTATACGTCGATATATCTATTAGACAGTTGATGTTATGTTATGGTCAGAAGCGGAGTGACCCCAAAATTCTTACCGGGCGAACCAATATTTTCAGTTCACTTTTCAATACGAGCTCTACGTACATAGACATAGACGTAATCAATTTTTTTATGAAATGTGTTTATAAAATTATTTTGAAATGTCCCGGTTGCCCGGTGGGCCACTCTGTCCCAGCCTATGGTTCTATAGGAGATACAGTTATTACTRTCCCAGCAGTCCCTACTTAAAAAAAATCAAGATTCATATTGATTATAGATTATAGAATTATAGAACACTCAACACAAATTACGAGTATACAATTATTAGAGAGGATGCTTTTATACATATAAATAATAGCACTCATAAAAATTCGGGGTCAATTCTATTTAGATAAATAATAAATATATATATAAATAGATAAATTGTAATTACACTCAATCTAATCCTATAAACTGAGTGTATAAATTTGGTAGGACTTTCTCAGCYACACAGTGTGATCCTGCTAAACGTATGGGTWACTATATTAAAAAGGTTCATATACCTAGTACCTATGCATTCAAATAATTTATRTTTACAATGATTATTATATTCATTAGTCATTAATTACGACATTGATCCATTATTAATCAGGTAATATAATTCATTGTTGAGAYGAGTGTCATTAAATTTAATTACAACAGCAACATTAATTAAAAACCATACCAATAAAAGTAGGTCATCAATTCATCATTTCAAATTCCTTCGGAACTCAGAAGTCAGAAGAATAAAAATATTCTTAACTTAGGTAGTCTTACTCGTATATTTTGGCTTTTTATACATAAAATAATCATTAACCATGAGTATGTAAATTAAATACCACTATTATCGTATCTATATATTGGTGCATGGTTTTGTACTCTTGGTCTATACTTTACGTGTATACGGCACAAATATTTCGAGAAACGAACTAAATAGGTTGTTTGAAACGTTACTCAGAAATTCAGAATATATTATAAAAATCTCGTATTGCAGGAAACAATATATACCTTGATTAATGAAAACTAGATTGGCAGCAAGAGAAGTATACCTACCGACTTTTCCGCATTTATAATGCTATATAGTATATAGGTATAGGTACCTACACC